GAATTTCATTCCATGCAGAAATCTGGTTGCCATGGCAACCAAAAGGAATTATAAGAATAAATTTAAAAAATCTTCTTGTAAAGACCCAAAAGGCCTAAAGCTTAGATATTTTGCATAAGTCATTGTCTGTTAGACCTCTACCAAGATTGTTCAAATTAAAGCCCTGGGGTCAAAATCGGCCCCGCCCCAGGGGTCATTGATTTTCACTAATTGTACATATAGTAAAAACTTAAAATACCTTCTTGTAAAGACCCAAAAGGCCTACAACTTAGATATTTTGCATAAGGCATTGTCTGGAAGACCCTTACCAAGATTGTTCAAATTATAGCCCTGGGGTCAAAATCAGCCCCGCCCTTGGGGTCATTGATTTTCACTATATGTACATATAGTAAAAACTTAAAATGCCTTCTAGTAAAGACACAAAAGGCCTAGAGCTTAGATATTTTGGATAAGGCATTGTCTGGTAGACCTCTATCCAGATTGTTCAAATTATAGCCCTGGGGTCAAAATCGGCCCCGCCCCGGGGGTCATTGGTTTTCCTTATATGTATATAGTAAAAACTTATAGTATTAGTAAAAACTTTAAAAAATTTCTTCTAGCAAATGACAAATGCTAGAGGTTAGATATTTTGCATGAAACATTGTAAAGTGAACTTCTAGCAAGATTGTTGAAATTATAGCCCTGGGGTCAAAATTGCCTCCGCCCCGCGGGTCATTGATTTTCAATATATACCTATAGTAAAAAATCAAAAAAACTTATTGTCTGAAGGTACAAGGCTTAGAGCTTTAATATTTGTTAAATGATATCATCTATAGGTACTCTACCAAAGTTGTTCAAATTTTGCCTTTAGTGTCAAAATTAGTCCTGCCCCGAGGGCTATAGGTTTTTCTTATATGTATATAATAAAAACTTAAAAATCATCTTCTATAAATTTACAAAGGCTAGAGTTAAGATATTTTGCATGAAACATTATGTAGTGAACCTCTAGCAAGATTGTACAAATTATAGCCCTGGGGTCAAAATTGGCCCCACCCCCAGGGGTTATTGATTTTTACATTGATGCTTTGATGTTTGCTATATAATATCATCTATAGGTCCTCTACAGGTGTCAAAATTGGCCCTGCCCGGGGGCAGTGATTCTCATTATGTACACATAGTAAAAACAGAAAATAAAACACATGTTTTCTGAATGGGAGAAAGCTACAGCTTAGATATTTGACTTGAAATGTTGTTTCGTGGACCTGTATCAAGATTGTTTTGAATTAAACTCTTGGGTCCAAAATTTTGCCTTGCCCAACAGTGACCTACTTTCTTGTCCTTTGATGTGCAGCAATGAAATTTTGACCATGTGTACAGTTTTTGTTGTAAAATTGAACTTTGATATCAGGTGACCTAGATTTTGATGATGTGACCTACTTTCTTGTCCTTTGGTGTACAGCTATGAAATTTGAACCATGTGCACAGATTAAGATGTAAAGTGAACTTTGATTTCATCTGACCTAGATTTTGACAAAGTGTCTTACTGTGTTGTCCTTTGATGAAGTCATGAAATTTAGGCTGTGTGAAATATGACCTTCACCACCAAATTCACTGGACTCGAGTGCATTGATATATTCATACTCTGATCTTTTATTGAGTTAACAACAGATTTAACCACTAATCTGATAATAAGAATAAGATAGGTCAGGGATCTATGCATTATGACAATCTTCAAAATTGTATAGAAACAAAAAAATCTGTTCCTACACTACTATTTAGTGTTGTATTAATGCGGTGGCATAGCATTTTTCTCAAATGCAATCTTGTTTGCATAAGAATTTGTTTCATTCTGATGGTTTTTATGATGTTAATTTGATTGTATGAAAACTGTATTTCCCTTTAAGGTATTGAGATGTAATATGGAAATATGTTAGATATGATCATATCATAAGATGACTGTACGCTAAATACACATCAAAGTTGATGTATGATAGATTATTGAAACAGCTCATCCTCTCTAAGGTAACATCTGTATTGGCCGTTGAAGTAATACGTAATATATAATCATAGAAAAAAACATGATTTTATAAGGTTTTTTTCCATAAATCTGTTCATTAATGGCTGTGAGATACTGGTAAATAGAATTAAAGTTCTTTATTTTAAAAACTTCATATTGCATAAATAACTGCATGGCAATTCAAACGAATTTGGCATTTTAAATTTTAGGTAGATATTCTAGCTGATAACAACAACTATTACCATGTTTAAGATGCTTTTGCTAATTTATTGGAGTGCTTATATAATGTATATTTTGTATATTTATATGTGATGGATTTTATAATTATTTAAATTACTTAAATTATGCATATCCAAATGTCAGAATGGAGATATGCAATGCAGTATACTTCATAGTATACTCAGGTTGCATATTAGACAAGTTACTATGATGGCATGATATAAATTGTAATGTTGAGATAGAAGAAGTAAAATCATCTAATGTGTATGGTAATTCCCATTTTATGGAGAATGATTTTGTGTTGAGTTTTTAGTATTTGATTTAGTTCTCAATTTTTTTAATGATCTCCAAGAGTGATATGTGTCCTTTGAAAAAATCAGGTTGAACTAAGGTGCTTAGCAAATTTGCTCTATGCAAAAGGGATGGATTTAAAATTTATTTATGAAAGCTGTATATTACACTACAGGTGAACTATTTCAACCAGACATTGCTTGAAATCTTGCACGTTTTTATGAATGTATGGTATATATGATATGATAAGAATCATTCTGCTGCACAGTAATAGAAATAGATAGGCGGGCATAATTTCTGATCTTTTATCTCCATGGTGAAATTTCATATGAAAAAAAAAAGGTACCTATGTTGCATGTGGTTCAATTTTGTATTTGATTTTTAGCTATTCCTCTTTGCATTCTTATTGTAAAATGTTTGAAAGGTTTTCAATAGAAATGATTGCTTTCTAAAGTTGTGTGAAAGGAAATCTATTTTAAATTGTTGTGTTATATAGTAAATGTATGTAACAAAGGTTGGTTTTCATTGACTGTTTAAACATGGAATAGGAAAAATCAAAATATTGATGTCTGCATTGTTATACTGTTTGACCACTCACAGTTCATGATGATTTTTAGCTTTCTCCTGAAATGTACTGAATTTGATTTTATTTCTAATTGAATAATTTTAAGAGGATGCTATGGTCGGACCACCGTCCTTTAGTCACTGTGTACTTCCTTGTTGAAAAGCCAAAGTGTTATTTGCATTATCATATACAGTGCAGATATATTTTGATTTGATACTATCATTTAGATATGTCTTGGTTTGTGGCAGGACAGGATTGGATCATGGGAACTGAGGGGTACATGATATTACTATCCTTTCAATGAATCTAAAATGAGACCAGCATCACAGTCTTTTTCAGGATTTTCAACATTTTGTACAGAATCTCATTCAGCTTAAAATTAATGTAGTATATATTTAGCATTAGAATAGCATGTTAAGCAAATTTACAGAAAAAATAAGGTTTTTTTGTTATCATCATGCAATAAACTAGCCATGTTTCTAGGGATGTAGATTAGTTTTCACCTGTAGAATTCATGTCCCTGTTTATTACTCATTCCTCCTGCTTTTTGTCAAGATGAATAAATATTTACTGTAGCAGTTTCCCTGTTAGTGAATAAAAACTATCAGGAATCAAAGAATTACAGGGAAGTCTTGGAATAGGTGGAAATATCTGATTAAATTTATGACCCATTCATCTTTCAGCACTGTTATAATTACAAGGCTGGTTCCAGGCTTTAAGTTGAGTACCTATTTATCGCTATGCTGGATTAATGGGATGAGCCAGGTACATGTAGCAAGCAGACAATGCAAGCAAATGATCAGGAAAAAAAACAACATGTGATTAATTATTGTTAAGATTGAGTTATAGAAATCTGGAACATGTTTCTCACTGATCAGATAAAAACCAGTGTATGTCAGTAATAAAAGGTGATTTCTTTTCATTAGTATTTATTCCTGATCTATGTGCACTGGGCTCCGATTGGCTGAGTGTTATAAATTGCTCTTAATGGAAGCTATTTTTGAGCAAGCTTAGGAGCAAATTTGTAGTTTTATTCAGTGACATTATGCTCTTCTGTGCCCCAAATGATTCACAATTTGTGTCACAAAACAGAATTAATATCTTCATCAACCAGTGGCGCAGGAAAGTTGTGTGACATAATTATATTCAAACATCTAAATAGTATTATCTGTTTCTAGAAGTTGTGTTACCTGTAACGATTTAAAAAAATGAAAAACGGCTGACCTTGATTCCGGACACTTTATTTGAACTAATTTAGTCCCGTAAGACTCAAGTTTTGACCAGTGTATGATAACACTAATACAAACATCCATCTGTCTCCATTTTCACTTAGATGATGTTTACTATGTCAAAGGTGGGTCCACCTCTAAAAATAAATGACACTTTAAGTATATTACACTGGTACCTGTGTGTGTATGTAACGTTACAAGTACTTTGTGGTCACTATTACTATAAATCTATTGTCTACCATATAATACTCTCTTATCACTTTCTCTGATGTCCTAGCCATAAAAACATTTTGAATATGCACCAGTATTACTATTATTTAATCATATTTCATCAAAGTACATTTTGATAAGCATTAAAAATGTAATAATGTGTGTTTAAAAATTTATAAAACATGCGTAGACTTTTTTGATGTTTTAGATAAAGGGAATTGACTCAACCTTACATGTTACATAATGACTGTTAATATCACAAAATTTCCCCTGTATTATATAAACAATTTTTATTGTAATAAATAGATTGAAAATTGAAATCCAGCGTATAGAATGTTGATGGTCCTATGATGTACCAAGAGCCAGCCTTTCCAGTGAAGCTGTGGAGTTCTAGTGGAGTTGCTTTTATACTTTTACATTGTCAATTTTGTTTAAAGCAACTAAGAAATATAGTGTACAATAAATATACAATTTGTTTATTTTTTTCCAGAGTCGTAGCTCCAAAATGGCCACAGTTGGGGAACAAATGCAAATAAGCAACCACACATTGGATAAGGTGACGAGGGCAAAAGTTACGTTAGAGAACTACTATTCCAATCTCATATCACAGAATGAGGAACGAGAAACAAGGTAAAACAATTTGTCTTGTTGTGACAGACATTTACTAGTACTTGTAGTCACAGGCACGAGTATCGGACCTGGGAAGAAAAAATATGACCAGATTGATAAAAAAACCTGTGTTCATCTTAAAAGTGTCAAAAAAACAAAAAAAAATGTAAATAATGACCCCCTTTAAAAATATACTATAAGTTAACTGATAGTATATTTTTAAAGGGGGTCATTATTTACATTTTTTTTTTTGGTTTTTTGACACTTTTAAGATGAACACAGGTTTTTTTTTATCAATCTGGTCATATTTTTTCTTCCCAGGTCCGATACTCGTGCCTGTGCTTGTAGTCATTATTTATAGTCACTTTTGGAAACTGTAGACTAACAGGGTTAGTAAAGTTGCTTTTGGATAATCATGGTGCAATTCTCCATTCTAGAAATAAACAATGATTTTACTTGGATAAGCAAAGTTTTTTTTATGAAAATATTTTATTTCTTTGAAAATATTTTATTTTAGCCACAATTTAAATATTTGATGCTCTATACCAAATGTTATTTTCAGTCATTTTGGATCTCATTTTTAAGAATTGATGAATTTGTATGCTAGCTGGGTGAATACTGGTGGCAAAGGCTAAATCAGTTTTGATTCTAGGAGTATAAAGTTTAAGGGTACATAATATACTTAATGAGATTTAATTTCTCAAGGGTTTTAAAGCAAAATTTTTGCAGCTAGATAGACTTGTAGTATAGTTTAATCACCATGACACAGTTGGACATTTAGTTACACTAGCCTTTATCTAAACATTTTAATATATATATATATAATATATAAATCAGTTTTGACACCTTTTGAGCATATGTACAAGTAGATATATAATTACTTATATCAATATTGTTAAAGGTTACAGTTAACTATGCCCTGTGATAAAATAATATTGTTTTTGAAAGTTATCAAATAGTTATTCTTTCGATGGCTGGTATTGTCCACAAGTTTTAACATATGAGCCGCGTCACGACAAAACCAACAATGGGTTTGCGACCAGCATGGATCCAGACCAGCCTGCGCATCCGCGCAGTCTGATGAGGATCCATGCTGTTCGCTATCAGTTTCTCTACTTGCTATAGGGTTTATAAGCGAACAGCATTGATCCTGATCAGACTGCGCAAATGCGCAGGCTGGTCTGGATCCATGCTGGTAGCAAACCCATTATGTTGGTTTTGTCGTGACGCGGCTCATATTCAATCCAACTACCCTGAGGTTTCCAAAACATGGCATAAGTCCTATCAAAATAAATAATTCTTCAGAGGTTGTTAAGTTTTTTTTTTTGAAGCATTATCAGCAAATTGAGATGTGACATTTGTTGGTTTGATATAGAACATTGCACTAAACTGCCATAATTTCGTGTTACATACTTGTGATAGCAAAGGATGAAAATACATCTTGGCTGACTTTTAACACGGCAAACAAAGGGACATGTAGGGCGGAAATAATACAAGTTAAAGATATCACTTGACATGCCCTGTTGTGTGAGATAAAATAGAAACTTAAACAGAGACAGGAAATTTACAATGTTATTCCACAAAGTGGCTCAATTATCTAGTTTGTGATCTTAAACCGAAAACTTAATGTAATAAATATATGGGCCGCGTCACGACAAAACCAACATAGTGGGTTTGCGACCAGCATGGATCCAGACCAGCCTGCGCATCCGCGCAGTCTGATCAGGATCCATGCTGTTCGCTATCAGTTTCTCTACTTGTAATAGGGTTTGTAAGCGAACAGCATGGATCCTAATCAGACTGCGCGGATGCGCAGGCTGGTCTGGATCCATGCTGGTTGCAAACCCACTATGTTGATTTTGTCATGACACGGCTCATATACTGATCATTATAGCCCATCTTGCTACAAAACAGCCTTGCTTACCTACTGACCAAATTCTTACAAGTCTGGGTCAGCCCAGTTAGAAAATTTTCAAATTTTGAATTATTTTCTATAGGCTATGTGAGTTTGAATTATATATTATTACAACAATAGCCAGAGTTTAGATTACTTTTGACGAAAAGAATTTGAAATTTCTAGCTATTGGGAATGTGTATGATGAAGACTTCTTAAAAAGTCAATGCTTTAAATTTATAATTGCTGCTTTCTTTAATCTTACCTTAAAGTTCACAATGGACAGTTTTGTAATTCAAATCAAATCAAGTCCACTATTACACAAAGTTTACCGGTGGTAATGTGAAACAGTAGGTGATATTTTCTATTCCATTCGCCTTCAAAATGAACAAACAAAGAGACTGTTGCCAACATATTGTTTCTGTTCAGAAAATTTCTAGTGCATTACTTTCATATTCCAAAGAATCTAAGAATTGCCACCTTGCCAAGGCCAATTAGCTTAATGTACTTGATAAAGAGGGCATTCATTGATTGTATAGCATAAGATTTATATTTTGTAATTTATATTGTTATTATATTTAATTTTATGTGCCAATTGCAAAACACTGCTGGGTGTTGAATTCTTTGAAGTCTCTGAATTCTTACATGTAAGGAAGCTATTTAACATGTCTACTGAAGCTCTTTAGTTTAACTTCATTCCATGCATTAATGCACAAAGGGCAGTACTTGAGGTCTTTCTTCATGTATTAGTAAAGCTGGAGAACAACAGATGATCATCACAGTGCACATGTATTCCAATGGATGATTAAAGTTTGCCTGATAAGCCCAGTAGTATGAATTTTTAGTTTACTAAGAATGAATCTTTGATTATGACCTGCTTTACAAGTGGCATTCAACCCTTCCTCACTCATATTAAAATGTAAATGAAAGTTGGCTGATTCCTTGGGATGAACTGACAATAACTTTTTTGCTCATTAATTATGAGCATGCTGGTTGAAATACATGTACCGCTTTAAACTTGTTTGCAAAGTAAGAATTGTTATGAATGATGTTTAATATGTAAGTATGTAATTTATATTTTTAAGGTACCGCAAGTTGGAAGAGACGATGGAAGAAGATGGTCTAAGTGATGAACAGGTTGGTGTTCCTATGGTTACTGTAATATATTTATGTAACAATGGGCAGTATTATCATAACTATATAAATTGCCTTGTTACAGTGTTAATTCTTAAGGTGATATTAAGGATATATAAATCACATAACAAAGACAAAACATTACTACATACTACAAGCAATTGTGTCAGTGAGGGAGTGACCATTCAGTCTGTTTTAACTGGGACATTTATAACTGTTTAGAACCATGCCACTCTGCATTATTATGCAATCTGATCATACTCTTTTCTGTAATGGATTCTCAAGTCCATTTGTTAAGTCTGATAAATTTCAAATTTGAAGCCTTGGGGTGAAGTGTTCTGTATATTATGAAGCTACAAACTCAATTATTGCCCAAGAGAAGCCCAATATATGGTAAATCACAAAGGGTCAAGGTCAAGTTTTAGAGGGCTATGGCTACTGCAAAGCTTTATGTAGTATACATGTATGTGTAGAGGTCATGGTCAATTTTTAGATGAATGAAGTTCAAGGTCATTGATATTTTAAGAGGAATGGGGAAAAAAAAGAAAAGGATTGTTATTCAAGTTTATAATGTCATGATTACAAAAGTCTCATTATTATAAGCATAATAAATAGATCAAGTCGGAGGCTATTTTTATAAAATGTAAACAATTACTTCTTGAGGCTATTTTTGGTAAATAGGCTAACAATCTATTTATCTTTGTTAGCATTTTACATAATGGGGCAAATGAGGAGTGATGGTGATAGAAAGTTAATGAGATTAATTTTTTTGGCATGAAATTACATCGAAAATAGTATCTTTTAGTTAATCATTTTGCACCCAGTTCTTGCTTTTGAAAAGATTTTCAGAAGAAAAGCAAAGTTTACCAGTTTAAAAGCGTTAACTAACTGATATCTATGGAAATTTTTTTTTATTGGGTTTTGTTGACATTAATTTTGTTGACACTAAATTCATCGTGTGTGGGCTATGCTTGTATATGTGCATGCCCCTGGGTGCATAATTATGCATAAGAATATATACATAATGCGTGCAGATGTCAAATTATTGAAGTATATATTTACCCACCCATGGCCACTTATAATTGCTCAAAGGTCAAACTTAAAGTGACATAATGCTAATTTTTTTCACTGTCATTTTTAAAAAAAATTTAACTAAGTTTTTATTTTTTTCTGACTTCTCAATTGCATTGAAATAAATAGTTCTTTTGTCACTATTTTCCCTCTGATAACAATGACAACAAAAACAGCAACAACAATAATTATCTATTTGATGATAAGGCCACAATGCAACATGGATAATCATTTTATGTCCGGACTATCATCATCTAAACATGTAAAGGTTTAGAATAGATCTTGAAAAATTTGTTTTCTATTTTAAAATGTCCAGGATATGAATACAAGTGAGGGTGATTAATTATTACTTGTTTGTCATAAATCTATTTATAGTAACGAAAGGTCACCAAGTAAAGATAAGATCAAGGAAGTAGTGAAGAAATTCAAAAGTTTTACACGCCCTATTGACTTTAATTGATAGTTGATATATGACTGCGCAAATTGCTCACAAATGAATGCTTGAACACATAGTAAAAGTCATTATTAATTAATAGGCTTAATTTTTTTCAGGTTGGCGGAAATAATAACAAACTTATGCTATAAGCATTAAACCAGACTAGCCTTAACATTAGTGCCGTCTGCCAAGCTAACAAAATTTAAAAAAAATTTGCTATTGAAATCCCTTAAATGCTCAATAGACTGTTCCTAGTACAAAGCTGGGCAAGTCAATTTAACAAATTCAGAAGGATTAGAGTTGCAGAAAACTTGATGCAAGAGGAGCATAATATCATTGTTTGTAGGAGATTTTTTTTGGGGGGGGGGAGAAGAAAAGACAACCCGGATATATGAATAAGACCACTTTAATCTTTTGTTATGTTCGAGATTGGTTTCTACTTTGCTTTGCATTTATTGAAGTAGAAGATCAAAGAATGATATTTTATAAACAGGCACAAAATTAGCCATTGGATATAGAATAAACAGAGTTACAATGTATTCTTTATAGATGTGAAAATTTGATATGAAACAGGATAGAAATTGAGCTCTCCACCTCAAAGTGTGCATTTTTTTTTCAATCTTTTTGAAATAATCGTTTGTCTTGTTAAAAGATAGAAACTTTGAATGGTATTTTTTTTGAAATAAATTATTAATGCCTTGAAGTTGAAACTATTTCTGCATTGTGAGTTTGAAAGTGAATAAGATAGATCCAAAATGCAAGAGTGTTTTGTATAGTGAGTGCTTAGAAATAAGAATGTAATTGAAGAGTTTGACTTTTGCCTCTTTAGTATCATCTTTAGGTGTCAATGTATGTGAGTGACAAGTTTCATGAAAACTTACACCAGTAAATGCTCACCTTGGTTGAACTATAACCACTCAGTCAGTAATCTGCTTGAATCTAATTAGTTATTTGCCTTAAATTTGCTACAAATATAAGAGCCTTGTTTACCTGCACTTCTTCTGTGCAGTCTTACCTGAAGCTCTATACTGCTGGTATCTCAAGTTTTGTATTGTATTATTGGAATCTTCTTAAATTTGCAATGACTGTTCAAAGTTCAAGGCATCAAATTGAGACGTTTAACTTAAGGGTTAAGTATATAATTACGTGTCACCAATTGTGACCAAATGACAACTTTTATCAAATCCCTGCTGATTGTTATGATATCATCTGATCATGTTTATAAATAACTTTTTTTTTACATCACTTCATGGCGGCCATTGACATTTCTGAGCTCACCCAGTGTCAAAAAATAGTACATATTCTGTTTCTGAAGAAAGCAATATATTAATTTTCCCCCATTTTACTGCAATCGTGCCGCATTTTACCATATCAGAATGGTAATAAAACCTTTGTTAAGTACTTTTTATAGATATCCACCCCTGTTATATGACTTGGGTAAATTAAAAATGGGTTGATTTATTGACATGTGAAATTTGTGGCATCATAAATGAATGTGTCATAAATAGTCATATGACTTTGACATAGTTTTATAGACCTTGTTAACACTGGAATACAATCTTCTTCACAGAAAGTTGTACATGTATATCTAAATTGTGTTAAAAAATCATCAATATATCATTATTCCCTTTTCTTCAGTATAACAGAATCTGATGGTCAAATTTTTTGATTAACTAGTAGATTTTTCTGTCTGGCATTTGGAATGGTTCACTCAATTGGTGCATAGAGTGCCAGACCGACTTACATTTCTATGTTGTCAATTTATGTTAACTATTTAATTGGCAGACCCTTATATATCTGTGTTGACTTTCATGTAATGCACTACTATATTATGCACCAGTCAATAACTATCCCAGCATCCTTAAATTAGCCCATCTTATACCTTCCGCCTGACTGACACTGCTTGGTCAATGATGATATGCTCTGTTATCCTGCCAACATTGGGAATTCTCCAAAATGGACAGTGCAAGCGCATTTTACAGTGATTTTACATATTGTCACCTTAGTGCAATAATGGGTTTTTAACTCCTATTATATAATATAAGGACTTCACCCATTACTGCACTAAGGTGACAATATGACTGTCTGACATTCACTACTCTATCATAAAACCCTGAAAGTCTTAAAATTAAGACAAGTCAAGGTCATTTCACAAATATATAACTTGGTAGAAAATACAAATTTATTTACTTTTGTTCAAAATGTCATTTGGTCTATTGCAAACAAATTCATGGCTAGATATATTTAAATGTGCAATTGCTGAAAATCAATCTGGATGAACATAATTTTTTTTTAATAGTCTCTAAAAGTTGACTGCTCTTTTGAGATGAGGTGATATTCGAAATGTTTGTGCCTAATATATACTGAGGCCTATTTCTGACTATTAAAGTATATTTTACTGTGGTCAAGGTCACTTGATATGTTTGATGTAGGTGTATAAAGGTGGATATTGCTTGAATAAGATCTGTCATTAATCTGCAATAAAATATATCAAGATGTATACAGCAAACCTGATTAATTTGATCAATATTTAGTTCAAAGACAGTATTTTCAGCAATTTATAACTTTTCGACAGTTTAACTGATTTAATGATATCAACTACTTGATATAACTATCAAATGATATCAAGTCAAGTAGTGACTTTTTGAGAGATAGTTTTGTTATAACAAGCCCTTTCCTGATACCCTTTTATATACTGGTCTAAAAAATGTTGTTAATCTAGGCCATGATCTTGATAAAAAGAATTTAAGTGAGATAAAGTATCTAGGGAGATTTTATGGTACAATTTACTTTCAAGTGAGTAAAAACAGCATGTGCTCACTTGTTGTACAGTGTCAAGTTCATTTGAAGCACAGTATTTAAAAAAAACATTGGGGGGGGGGGGGGGGGGTGAGCACTCTCATGGTTCAATAACCAGCTCATCATCTTTCAGCTTGTACCAGTGAACATTATTTCTTCTATGTATTGCAGGCTTCTAGCTGATTAGGCATGTTGTAAAAAAAGAGCCAAAACTGCAACTTTGTCTCTGTCTATAAAATTGGTTGCTGAATTTTATCTGTAGTCCTCAGCCTATGAAATTGTATACCAGTGTGGTGGCATGATAGTTTTAGTGAGCTGAAACTTTCAAACAGATAACTCATATACATTTGTTTAATGCGCCAGTGATTGACAGTAATTTTTTAAACTCAAATTTCGGGTCAGAAATCAGACATTGCTTATCAGTATCTACAGTACAAGAAGAATTAATTGAAGGGTACATATTTAGACATACAAGATTACATGTATGCCTGACAAAATTATCATTTTTGAACAAGATTAGTAATTAATCCTTACAGACATTAAACTCAAACAAAGAAATTCAAAGATTTAAAAATAATATTCTAGAGTTAAATTTGAAAATGTTGCAACATATTTATGTTAAATTTGCATTGTCATTTCACCTACATGCAAAGTATGACCTAGTTTCTATTTCAATGGGTTTATGCAAACATCAGAC